GATTGTTTTTAAGTTGTAAAAAATCTCAAATGAATACCAGTGGATTTTAATGGACTCTTTAAAAAATCCTAAAAATCCAGATTGAATACCACTGGATTGTTTTTAAGTGACATAAAATCCTGATTGAATACCAATGGACTTTTTTACTCAAAAAAAGTCTTTTAAAATCCTACGAAATCCTAAATCAATACACCCCCCTAAGAAATATAAAATAAAATAGTGTATTTTATTGTTACATATAAAATAATATTTGAATAAGGCGAGTGTTAAATATGCTTTTTAATTAAATTAAAATTTATTAAATATTAGAAAATTATGAGGGAAGTTACTACAATTATAATCTACCAGGATATCTAATTATAAATGCCTCCATTATTGGTATTAAGGAGTTTGTGTGAAAGTGAGTCAAGACAATTTATTACATGTTGATACTATAAATTATTTAATCTAATTTGATTCACTTTTTAATGACTAAAGAAAATTTTAATTCCTTTCGACTAAATACAAATCTGTGAGATAATGAATTAATTACATATTCATATTTTTAATAAATGAAATAAAGAGTCACTATTTTTTTATAAAAAGAAAAAAGAATTAAGTCTATCATTAATTTAAATTCAATTAAAAAATATCAGTCAAAATTATAAATAACAATTATATAAAATATAAACATAAAAGATTTTATTGTTTTTTAATTATAGAAAATTAAACGGATGAATTCCACTAATTTCATTTCAAATCCATTTAATTCATGGATTAATTGAGACAAAATTTGAAAAACTTTTTTTCTAACACGACTGGGCCAACTCCACGCCGCATCAACGACACGCCGTACGCCCTCGCCCCGCTTCTCTCCAACGACCCGTCGTTTTTCCCCTGCCCATGCCCAACGCCCGCTCCATCTTCCGCCACCGCAAAACCTTCATGCACAACACCATGATCCGCAATTGTTCCCCCTGGGCGCCCTCTCCAGCTACTTCTCGATGCTTCTTCCTTCGTGTGCAAAATAAAGGTAGATAATTGATGGACAAGACTTGTAGGAGTGGTTGTTGAACTCTTCCAAGCTCTATCTCAACGTCCAATCTTCCCTTGAGATAGGATGATCTTCACGGAAGCAATGAAAATCAAGCTCCAAAAGCTTGAGGAAGCACCTTTAATGGTGCGGTTTTCTTCTTGAAGGAAAAGAAGAATGAGAGAACCCAGGTACAAAGGAAGAATTCCTTTGTGAAGGTTCTTAAGGAAATAATTTTCTCCACGAATTAGGACTCTTGAGAGAGAGAGAAGTTTCTGAAAATTCAATCTCATAAAATGTCAAAAGTTAGTACAAAGGTAGGAGAAAGCTTTATATAGAGTAAGGAACCTTGTGAAGCAAGCTAGACTAACTATGGTTTAAAAGAATCATAATTAGCTTAACTTGATCGTCCATCATGATTTGGGAGGTTTGTAGAGCAAGCTTCTAACTTAGAAGCTTGGAAAGCAAGCTAAGTTAGAAGCTTGTAGCACAAGTTTCCCAAGTGTGCAAGGAAAGCTAGTGAATCCGGCAAAGGAACAAGGTTAGGTGACAAGGTGTTTTATTCTATATTAAATCCAATCCAAAAAGCTGGAATTGGTTTAGTTAGGTTCACTAAATGATGGTGAGGCCTAGCTAAATCAATTTCTTGGAAAATATGAAGCAAAACAAGCCCAATATGCAAAAATTAAAATATTGGGCTCCAAGGAACATACCCTAAATACAAAAACGAATGACTCTTAATACAAGGTTAAATGGAATAAAAGTTTCCAAGGAACATACCCTAAATTTTCAATAGAATATCCTATAAAGAAAGAAATAAAGTGTCTCAAAAATACAAAGACAAAAATAAACATATACAATAACTACTATGTACAAATGAACTAGATCATCTCTTCAAGATATGATGACCCACATGAAGAGTAGCTTGGGCTTAGAGAGCCCACTATCCTCCAAGCTAGTCAATCCTTCTTATATGTTCCTGGCCATAGCTATGGTGATTGGGCTCTTGGCCCATGGTCCATCAATAATAAAGTTGAAGAGTTTTTTGGTAGGTGATCATTCTCATCCACAAGCACAAAAAATATGCAAATTGTTGGATTCCATTCTCTAGATGGGGTTTTTAGAACCCCTTTGATGGGTATAAGTTATTGTTTTCTATTGAATTGTTTTCTTGCATTCTATAACATAATTATAGTTGTTTACAAGAACCTATGGACATGAAAAAGAAAATCAAATATAAATTGTGGTTCCTTTATTGCTGAATTTATGTGGGTAGATTCTCCTCGAGGTAAAATAGAACAAAAAAAAAAAGGAAATAATACATGAGAAATATTGCAGCTAAGCTAACATCTCATTGTTAGAAAAGGATTAAACCGAATATTCTGTCGTAGCAAGAATCACTTTCCTTTAAATCAAAATTTCGGTGAATCTCTAGTACAATTCAATAACTGGTTTGCTTTCCAAGGTTCACACAACATGTTCAATTTGTACATGAGGTCAAACATGTTAGAATTTTATGAATAATATACAACACAATGGAATAGAATATGAAAGAAAATTTTAAAAAATTAATAATTCTCTTTCTTAACACTTACTTTCTTTATATGATATAAAGGGAATTAGTCTCTCAACAAATAATAAAAGAATATTAATAAAAATAACAATAATTAATATGTCAACAATAACATTAAAATAATTAACACTTATTATTTTTACTGTAATTCATTGCATAAAGAATTTGGAGAACATTTTACACAGGCTTATTTCAGTGGTAGCCTAACAACCATCTTGCCAATGTGTTATTGCATAATTGAATATCATATTTGCTATAAATCTCATAACGAGTACAACAGTTGCATTCATCCAGTATATATAGTTTAATAAATGGTGTGGTCCTGTTACGATTTTCGTGCAGAACATCAATTCAAAGGTATCCATTTCGTGTCTGATCTCATAGCAATGTCAGGCATCAACTGATGAAACGAATTGTTTGCCTCTCAGCTGTTGGACGACGGAAAAGCAGCAATGAGCATAACAGGCATTCCAAACTCAGGTCAAGAACACTGATTTGCCTGAAATTTCTCTGCTGATAATAAACCATTGATTAGGCGTCCAAGCCTTTCAGCTCCGGCGCCCGGCCTAAGGTCCGTGATATTTCTTATGGCAGAATACTGATTAATGATGCTTGAATTTGCTTGGCTGAACCACGTGCCCGGAACATAACCATCTGCATTTCGTCCCAAGAGTTCAGTATCAATCTTATCCAAGACTAATTCATTCCTGCCAAATTTCCTAGCAAAAGGAGCATTGCTGTCTACCATTCTCTGGAAGTCATCAAGTGTAAGAAAATGAGGGTGTTGTTTTGGAGGGTTGTCCCATGATATGAAGTGGAGATCATGATTAACCGTAGTGTTACGAAACTCCTCAGCATTGCAGATAACCGTGTGAAAGTACCCTTCAGGAGAAGATAGAAAGTTGGCATAATACATCAAGACTATTCTAGGCAAGTTATCCCAACCCCATATGCAGTACTCAGTAAATGGGCGAGAGAGCATCATCCAAGCAGAACCTGAGCAAAATCAAGAGACAGTGTGAAGCTGGGACTCCCAATTTCAACTTATTTAGTTAGGGTAGTGATTCATCTCAGATTCCAGTAAACTGTGATCTCATGCAACATGAACATGTGAGTCGTAAATGCCTTCATATTTATCAACACAAGTGAAGAGAAACTCAGAAATGACACAAGTCTGAGCATATGCAATCGAACCTAATTATGAAAAAAAGAGAATTGGATACATAGCTCATAAGGGTATTGAAATTCAAAATACTATGAATGCCTATCTTTCACACTTTTCATTCGTCCTTCAAGAATTTCATTTACTTCTCTGAGTATTTGTAATTTGTCTTGAATCTATTCAGGGGTTAGATTTCTTTTGTGTAGTACTTAGGCACTCAAATTTGAAAGTGCTAAAAATTTGTGCAGGTGGGAAGATTGTAAGATAGTGATTCATAAGAAATGATGGGCAAAAGTTTCTGACCTGTAAACAGTTTATAAGCTGTGGGCACTTTTCTTTTCTCTGATAACCAAAATACATCAGATTTATTTATGCTATAAAGGCCTGGATCAATTATAACTGGCTTCGCCCTGTGATACCTATTCAAATGAGTGTAGTATCACTTGTAATGAACTGCAACATATTGATCTTAATTTACACAATCTTGTTACTAAAATGCATGAAATCATGCAATGAACAGATTAGGAAAAGAATTGGCAACTTACTCCTTCCAACCAATATCACTAGTGTGTTCGATAAAGTTCAGGTGTCTCGGAATAAACGACAGCGTATGCAGCAGATCTGTTGTGTACAAGAGATATAGCAAATTGTGAGTTAATCAATGACAATGAAAACTGGGCAACATAGTTTACTGTTTTCTCTCTTTTTTTTTTTTTTTTTTAATTAACTTTTTAATTTCTATAATTTCATAATTTTTAATCCTTATACTAAAAACTAATTTACTTTTATGGATTCTTTTTTATCACTTTAGAGTCCAAATAGATGGAAGATTTTAAAAATTAATTTACTTTTATATCTTTATAATTTTAATATCTTTATAATTTTAATAATATATGTAAAGATATTTGGATATTATAATAAAAATATTTTAAAATCTCTCTTCTCTAATTCCTCTCAATATTGGAGGGAAGTTAATAAATGTTTTTTAAAAATGTCTCTTCTCCCTTCCATTCTCCTCTAATTAAATACTGTTAGGTTTTGTCAATTATTATTGTGGGGACTATAAGATAAATTTTATGAAACTATATACACTAAAAGTAAACAAAAAATATATATAAAGAGATCAAAATAGAATTTTTTATTATATTAACTAAAATAAAATATTTTCAATTATATGATTAAAAAATAAGTTTATCAAATTACAGGGAAAAAAAGCAATCAATCCTTCATCAAATCCTTAAATTCTTCTATAATGAACATTTTTTTCTCATAAATACTGCTTTGTATGCTGTAATGCACAATATAGTAAGGTTTTGCTTCCGCTCATAAAAAAAAAATCCTAAAATGTACTCCCTGCGTAAATGGTACGTTCGTGAACTTTAAAAATTATATTTGATTAGTTAATTATGCATAATATAATATAACTAAAAATAATAATACTAAACTTCATGAATTACAAACAATGTCATCCAAAAAAATTCTTCCTTTCCTATTTCTATTCGGTCTATTTATCAGTGAAGAGAGTCTACCGACAAAAATAACTTTATGACAACCAAGCAAACAAGATGTTCAAAGTTGAAATCAATGTTGAGTGAGATATAGAAGTGAAGCTACTAAACAAAAAGTCAAAAACTCATACTTAACTAAACTGATTTGAATTTTTAATTTTGAAAAAAAAAATCAATATTTAGCAGGGGCAAAATTTGCGATAGGAACCAATAGAACCTTACTAAGGCCCAAACATAGCATGTTAACGAATACCAATACATGATGAAGACAAACCTACCATCTTGGGTGACCAAAGGGTAATCAGAAGCACTCAAATTAATGAACCAATCCCAGTCCCTGGCTTGGCTTAGCAAAATAGCCACGGCGTGAAGGGTATTAGTGACCATAGTGGGCCCTCTATAAGTAACCAAATTGGGCTTAACGAGGAATCTAACGTTCCCGAACATTGCAAAGAGAGGTTCGTTATTGACGAAATCCGCGAGGCCCAACCTCTCAGTGGCAGAGGCCTCAAGGTCCAAGTGCAGCGCGTAGTGGTTCCAGGGATGGTACAGAGCCTTCAGCGTCCTCTTCAGACTCTCCCCATCGCCCATTGAGCCCGAGATTAAGTAGGCTATTCTGGGAAGCGCGCCGCTCGATGTGGGACTCACGCTCAGCTGGGACTCCACGAAACAAGGCACTTCCTTTGGGGCCGGGGTGTGGTGGCGTTGGGAGGAGTTGGAGGAAGGGAAGAGGGAGAGGAGAATGAGTGGGAGGAACCACTTCTTGTTGGGTTCCATGAGTTGTGAATGAAGGAAGGTGTTCGTGTTGTGAAGTGAGGTGGACTGTGGTCTGTGGAGTGAGTGAGTTGTGAAGAGGGAGGATCTATGTTGGCGTGAAACGCGCACTGTGTGGCGAATCAAGATTGGAACACACATGTCTCATGTCATGCCACTTGATAGTGGGTCACACTCACATTGCCACCATCATTATACATGTTTTATTATTCCTTATTATAAATTAATTATAAATAACAAAATGTCATTTTAATATATAATAATAAATCATTATTTTGAATACAAGTAATTAATTTTATAACATCGATATTATATAAAAAAAATTATAGTTTATAACTGCTTTTAAATTGATTTCTCTCACTGGTATCTTAATGTTTTTATTTAATTTAATTTCTATTTTTCTATGTTCATAAATCTTCAATTAATTATTTTTTATTATTGTTTTAATTCCTCTACAATTGCCGTATATAATGGGGTTGCTTTTTTCAATATTTAAAAATAAATAAATAATTTCTACTTTTTGTGTATTAATTTATTCATATTACATATTTTATAAAAAGTATCATTATTATTATTATTATTATTATTATTTATTTTCATTTAGTATTAGAAAAACACAGTGCAGCATCTTAGGATTTGCCAAGAGGGTGAATACACTTGTAATTAGTTATTGACTTGGGGGTTGACGCACGACCCAGACAATGGTCAGTGGGCAGTGTGTGGTGTGTGAGAATAATGCGTGCTCCTTTTTCCTTCACCTTTGCAAAACTGCACTTGTTCCACGCGCCTTTCATATAAAGGGTTATTAATTATTAGTATATAATATTTAATATTTAATACCAAAGTGACCCATTCCTAAACCTAAGTGAGAAATCGATTGGGGACTGATTTCTCAGTTGGGATTTTAAAAAATTTTGTTCCAGTTCATTAAGAAATTGGTTGTTAGGTAATATATTTCTCTCTTGGGCCTTTTTTTAATTTGTTTTTTGTTTTCTTTTCTATTTTTTTAATTTTTAAAAATTAATTTAATTTAATTTAAAATTCATAATTTAAATTTAAAGAATAATATATTTTAAATATTTAAATATTTAAATTTTATTTTAAAAATATAGATAATTTAATAATTTAAATTTTGTTCAATAAACATAATATTTAATATTTTTACATAATTAATTTATTATCATAAAAAAAAAATCCTAA